CTTGGGAATATTGGGCTACATCAATTAACTGCAGACCACAATGAAGATACACAAATATATCTCAAAATCAAAATTGTCATCACACAAATCCAATTTTATTGAAAACACAAAAATTTAACATGTACAGTTCTACTGCTTCACACTGGAGTACACGCATTCACTGTTGGTGTTGTTCCTCTGTTTTCTTGATCTGTTAGGCAGGTTAACATTTAAAGCAGCATAATGGAGGCTGTCTGCATCTCGGTAACCCTGGTAACAAAATATACACAACTGGATTACGATATTGATATATATCGATTGATATCAACAAAACAGTTGGTTGTTTTGCAATGAGAATTTTTTAATGGTAATCAATGAAGTATTACTATTATGAGTCATTTCACCTCTGAAGTTGTTGTGGAAGGACTTGATAATCTTGCTTGAGACTCTGGTTGTGAAACAAAGAAAACATTCTTTTATTCAAAAGTTGTATTTAGTGAATAGAAGCCATCATAAAAAAACAGTAACACTTACCTGTACATTGGCAGTTGTTTTTCTTGATTATCTTGTACACCAAGAAAGCCAGTAGAACAATTAGGATGGTAGTGAATGTCAAAGCGCCACTCAGGAAATACACCAAGACAAGAGAATCCACCTCATCTGCAGATTCAGACATCAGAAACAGAGCTTTCAGCTTTTACCTCTGTGGTCACCCAAAGCTTGATTGGAAGGTAACAATAAATAACTAAATAGGACAACCTCTGCTGAAAAGTTACGTACACTCGATTTCCAGCTTGGTCCCATTTCCAAACAGTACATGTCCACATGAGGCAACAGCACAGTAGTAGGTCCCAGCATGAGAAAGATTCAGGCTCTTCAATGCCAAGTTGTAAACACAGGTGTGTGTTTGTGTGCTGGAATTCCTCTCACACTGATCGTTCCTGCCTCCATGGGTGTAAATGAGTCCTGGATGAGATTCTTCAGAGGTTTTGAACCAGTAAACACTGTGTTCTCCATCACAGGTCCCAGTGTGTACTGTACAGTTCAGAGTCACAGAGCCTCCTGGCTGGATGGGCTCAGATGCTGACTGAAGGACTGAAGCTGGGACTTTCAAACCTGAACCCTTTACACTGACAGTAGTGCCCTCTGCAAAAGTCAAGACAAATGTATAGCTAGTTGCGCAGTAGTAAGTAGCTGAGTCTGAAATGTCCAAATCATATATTGTCAAGTGATTTTGACCTTTTACAGTATCCAGAAGCGTGAAGCGTTGATTATTCTTGAATTCATGATAAAAAGTGGTTCTTCTATCATACACATAGAAGGTAGAGATGAGCCTTGGTTTCTGTCCCAGCGTTTGCTTAAACCAGTAAAGCCATGCTGAATTATCACGTTCATAGAAACATTGCAGAGTCACATTTTCTCCGACATTAGCTGATACAAAACGTCTCTCTTGATGAACAGACGAGGGCAATTTGGGATCTGTAATCTGAGCTGAAATGAAATGAAAGACAAAGCAAATGCACGATTAATTAAATTTAATAGACTTCAGTGTAATTTCTATACTAAAATTAGAAGCATTTCCATGAAGAGTTGCTATAAAGTAAAATTGGAGCTGCTGTAGCCATAAAAACAAAACTCACCCATTTTCCCCACGAACAAACATATCAGACAGAAAACAAACTTTGGAGATCTCATCGTGTTCAAATATGTATGTTGAATGAAAGGGTCTTGATACTTTCCCCACTCTTAAGAGAAAAGACTGTGTTTGATTGGCCAGCCTGATGTGACACTATGTCCTCCTTAGGAAACATGATCACATGTTCACTGCCACCTATAGTGTTTGGTTCTTGAGAAGATTCACATGTTGAGAGGTACAATGATGAAAACAAATTCATCTTGGCATATTCAAAATTAGCGAACAAGAATTTCCATATATATACAGCACATCAGAGCATGTTTATAGTTCATTTAGAATGTTTAACTAAATTCATAATCATAAAAAAAATATTTCCTGTTTATTTCTTCTGGGGGGTTTTTTTCCACAAAATGCTCTGAGTTTGACTTGAGTGGAGGAACTCATTTACCCTTTGTTAAGGATTTCTTATGCTCATCTTTTACTTGCAGATGTTTCCCAAGACTGGTGTGATGCTTCAACTCAATGTCTCTCGCACGAGTTAACGGTGCTCACGTTCATTATTTGAAAAATAATACATGGTCAGTGCACCCTTTACTGAAAATATGAGCATGTTCAATAAACGTCTTGTAGCATACTCATGCCCTTCAAGTATCTTGGCAACATTTGGCAATGGACCACTACATCCACCAGATAAAATAACATGCAGGTATAATAACTTATGTACCTGTCAAAAAAGGTGTCAGTAATAATGTTAGGTAAAAAGGAAACTTTAAATCACCTGCCCAAGAGTTTAGATCTTAGACATTACTTGTATCACAGTTTATAATCTGATGTTTCAATATGCCCTATGCAACTAAAGTATTCTATCCATTGTTTTTGTTGTTGTAAGTAGTACTCTAAATAGTATTTCAATTAAGTAGTTCTACTAATATTAGTATTTGAATTACTAGTATTAGTGTTAGTATTTGCCTTTTCTGTGTGATCAAATATGACACAATAATAACTCCCCTGTGTTTGGATGTTTTAGTGGTTCTTAGCTTAAGGAAAAGTATGTGGGAGTTCCATCCTCTCTACATCCTGCTGAAAACCACAGTAGCTGCTGCACTGAGAGAGATACAAAGCAAAAGCATGGAGGTAAAGGTTGAAGTGTCTCAATGTAAAGACTGCTTCATTTCTGCTTAGCATTCATAGAGCAGCAGTGCCAAAAATAAACTTTGCATTACTACTACTGTTTGGCATAAAACCTATTCTGCAAAACATGTTAACTTCACCCTGTTCTTCAGCATTAGTAAGACTAAGACCTGAATACCAATTATCACTGTGCACACAACAAAATCAGTCAGGGACAACACCCTGTTCACTTTCTACCAGCTAGGAGTGTAGTGATACATACTGGTATAAGGTGAATACCCACCTCTGTGTAGGGGGATCTACCAGAGAAGTTGCAATGTTCTTGGACACTTTTTTGCAATAAAATTTTGGAAATAAATGAAAACTCCATGATAAACTACATCAACGTTACATCTAACCATGCATATTTATACCAGCTTACCTTGATGCTTTAAGTGCTTGCAATCGACCCTTCGCAAAGCCACAACCACTTAGTTACTGTTGCTAAGTGCGACAAACTGTCAGACCTGTCAGACTCAGCATGGTGCTGCCACTGTCTCTAACTGTACTCCCTGGAGAAATATTGTTGAATTTTTGGAAAATCAAAAAGGCGATCTCAGAAAGAAGGTGACAGAAAGGTTTGCATTATACCTTTGAAGGTTGTATTCAGGCTGTCAAAGTGATGTGAAAAAATAAAGAAAAAGCTATGGCCTACCAATCACAGAGTAGTAGTGAACCACTGCATCACCTCACGATTGAGACAGAGGACAATGATTAGAATTAGCACTGTTCCTGTAAAGCTGGGTAGGTCTCTAGTCAGTTTTACAATCATTAAAAAGCAAAAACAGTAGGGCTTTATGACATTACATTTAGCAGTAGGTTAGCTAGCGTTAGCTAACTAACGTTACATTCGGAACAATCCACAGCCTACATTTTCTGGATTTGTTTTAGGTTTTGGAATGGGAATACATCGTACTTCTCCTTTCAACTTCTCCTGGTCAGGACTGTAACTATTACAAGTGCCCCAGGAACAGCGTTTGACCATATCTTGGTAAAAGTCGGGAAAAAATTTAGAAAAAGACTCATTTCTGAAACAAAGTCTACGGAGCATCGCCATGAAAGTGTCGGACCTCAGTTAGAGCAAGTCCTACACTGTGCTGTGATTGGCCACCTTGCATATTCGGGGCGTGGCTTAGAGAAGGGTGAATTGAACTGCCTGTGTCACAGTGATTTGTCTCGTGTGACATCCTGTGTGTGTTTCGTCATTCTCTGCATAGCCTTTACAGTGGCAAAGTGTTTGTCAATAGACGATTTCCTTTTTTGTTTGACCGCAGTGCTTCTTCAGTTTACCCCTGCCTGCTTTGGGAAAGAAGATCTGGATATTTTTTCATGGTCCTTTGCTGTTATTTTTATTGGCAAATGTCAGAGATATTGCTATCACACATGTCTGCTGTGTCTTGTAAACAAGGAAGAGAGATTGCTGATGTGTCACAATGTTTTGCCAGAAACAACGATGATAGGTCAGATTTGCAGAAAAGTTGCGGTGATTGATCAAAATTGCAAATTGAGCTGAACTCACTGGAATTTGTTGAATTTGTTGTAATAGTAATGATAGCAACATTGCAAAATCCTGGCGGGACATGTTAGAGAGCTTCATCACTTGAACAAAACCATAAGTCATTTTGGGGCACTCGCTCAAACAACTGATGCCCTTGTTGTTTTTTAGGACAGTCTCCAACATACGTGCTCGTCTAACATAAAGTTAGATAACGATGTTACGCCAGCGGCTGCTGCACCATGCAAGAGTGTGTGTTGATCAGTAATGGAGGAAGTATTCAGATCCTTAAAGTAGTAATACTGAAGTATAACAATACTCCCTTACAAGTAAAAGTTATAAATTGAAAATGTACCTAAAGTAAAGGTAGACTACGACTAAGTTAGACAGGCTTCATTCTAATCCGAACAGAAGCACTACTACTACTACTAGAACCTCATTTTTGTATACATTGTATATATTTTGTTGGTTAACAGACATTTTCTCTGTACAGAGACACCCTGCAGTGACTGTATGACACTGATAAATGACACCCTGTGGTTTCAGGGTAATGAATCATTATTTATTAGATTAACATCAAACTCTATACTTTTGTGAAATGCACACATTTGATTTTTTTGGATTTTAGAACAGAGTTCTGAAGGTTGTCTGTAATCTTTTGAAAACCTTGTTTGGGAGCCAACGGAATACGATATCTCAGCATAAAAACGGACAATACAATTTTCAGTTGGAAATTATTTACTTAGTATCATTTATCAAACATGATTGAAAATAATCTGCAACAACAGTCTGAACTTTACCAGAAAGATTCCACCTGTAAGCTGAATCATCAACACCAATGTAAAGAAGTTTTAACCTCAATGTGACTTTCCTAGTTAAATAAAGGTTAAGAAGATTTGATAAAATATTATGATCAACATTAAATCTATCTGATCTACACTGACTGCAGCAAAATCTTGCCTTTTATCAAGCAATTTAACAATGTCATCCACAACAGCAGTTATTGTAATATGACCAGGTATCCTGACCTCTTTGGATTTAGGACAGGATGGGCAAGTATTGTGAGCTAACCAGTGATTCTGCTAAGAGAGAGAAGAGTGTGGATGTAGGTCGATAGTTGTTGAGGTCAAAAGAATCACTACTGTTGTGTAACTGAGCTGTTTTCCATATTACAGGAGTTTACCAGAGGTAAAGGTTGAACCAAAAATATGCACAAGGAAAACAGGAGAGTCAAGCCTAGGTACTGCATGTTAGATTTGTCCTCACCAGGAGACTTTTCTATGTTAATGTTTCTCAGTGTATCACTGTATATACCCTGAGCATTTAACATTATTGAAGGAAACACAGTTGTAATGGTGGGGTAGCCAAGCCTGATCCCTTCACCTTGCTCTTCTACATGATCAATACACTAAGCACACTCCACTAAAATCTGATCAACTGTCACTGTGTATGCAAACAATCAAGCAAGCAGTGGAAGAAGGATTCTGTTCTATTGCCAAGGCTTAAATGAATGCAATAAAGATCAGACTTGACTAAGAAAACTTCAGGCAGCTGTAAAACCCATCCACCATCGGTATGATACACAGAATTCATTGTAACCCTGTAGCATAATGGACTTTATGTCTGGTTTGTTTCTCTCATTTTAGCATAGGTACTGACTCAGCTGTCTGTCATCAAAATGAACATATGCACTGTAGGATTCAATTATTGAAGGTCAAACAAAATACTTCCCGTTGACTTTAACAAAAGTCTGATGCACCACCCCTACTCCCACTCTCAGTACTCAGTACTTTCTGCCTCACTACATAAAGGCCACACTTCTTCTTCTTGCATTGGGACTGAATTTGGGACTGGGAGTAAATCAAAGGAGCAAAATCATTCAATAAAAACATTATTCCTGGGAGTACTGGGCCTCATCCTTTTGTTGCACACCACAGATACACAAATATTTCTCAGAATAAACATCTAAATCTGCATTAGGTCTACACTTGAAATACCACAAAATCTTTTTTATTGAAACCAATATAGTTAAATATAAATGTAACATGTTCAGTTCATCTGCCTCACACTGGAGTACACACATTCACTGTTGGTGTTGTTCCTCTGTCTTCTTGATCTGTTGGGCAGGTTAACATTTAAAGCAGCATAATGGAGGCTGTCTGCATCTTGGTAACCCTGGTAACAAAATATGTGAAACTGGATTACGATATTGGTTCTTAAAAAAGCAACAAAACTATTGGTTGATTTGCATTAATAATGTGTTATAATAGAAATGAATGGACAATTTCACCTCTGCAGTTGTTGCGGAAGGACTTGATAATCTTGCTTGAGACTCTGGTTGTAAAACAAAGAAATTGCTCTTTTATTCAAAAGTTGTATTTTGAAAATGCAAGCCATCATAAAAAAACAACACTTACCTGTACATTGGCAGTTGTTTTTCTTAATTATCTTGTACACTAAGATAACCAGTAGAACAATCAGGATGGTAGTGAATGTCAAAGCTCCACTCAAGAAATACACCAAGACAAGAGAATCCACCTGATCTGCAGATTCAGACATCAGAAACAGAGCTTTCAGCTTTTATCTCTGTGGTCACCCAAAGCTTGATTGGAAGGTAACAATAAATAACTAAATAAGACAACCTCTGCTATAAAGTAACTTACCTTCAAAGTCCAGTTTGGTCCCGTTTCCAAACAGTATGTGTCCACATGAGGCAACAGCACAGTAGTAGGTCCCAGCATGAGAAGGATTCAGGCTCTCCAGTGGCAAGTTGTAGACACAGGTGTGTGTTTGTGTGCTGGAATTCCTCTCACACTGATTGTTCCTGCCTCCATGGGTGTAAATGAGTCCTGGATGAGATTCTTCAGAGTTTTTGAACCAGTAAACACTGTGTTCTCCATCACAGGTCCCAGTGTGTACTGTACAGTTCAGAGTCACAGAGCCTCCTGGCTGGATGGGCTCAGATGCTGACTGATTGACCAAAACTGGGACGGTCAAACCTGAACCCTTTACACTGACAGTAGTGCCCTCTGCAAAAGTCAAGACATATTTATAGCTAGTTCCGCAGTAGTAAGTAGCTGAGTCTGAAATGTCCAAATCAAATATTGTCAAGTGATTTGTACTGTTTTTAGTATCCAGTGTGAAGCGTGGATTGTTGAATTCATGATAAAAAGTGGCTTTTGTATCAAACACATAGAAGGTAGACATGAGCCTTGGTTTCTGTCCCAGATTTTGCTTATACCAGTAAAGCCATGCTGAATTAAGACCTTTATAGAAACATTGCAGAGTCACATTTTCTCCAATATCAGCTGATACAAAACGTGTCTTTTGATGAATAAATGAGGAGACTTTCAGATCTGTCATATGAGCTGAAATGAAATGAAAGACAAAGTAAATTAATCAAATCTGATTGAATTCACTGTAATTAATATAAGGTATATTACAAGCATTTCCATGAAGAGTTACTATAAAGTAAAAGTGAAGCTGCTGGAGCCATAAAAACAAAACTCACCCATTTTCCCCACGAACAAACATATCAGACAGAAAACAAACTTTGGAGATCTCATCATGTTCAAATTGTATTGTTGAATGAAAAGGATCTCGATTCTTTCTCCACTCTTAAGAGACAAGACTGTGTTTGATTGGCCAGCCTGATGTGACACCATGTCCTAATTAGGAAACATTATCACATGTTCACTGCCACCTATAGTGTTTGGTTCTTGAGAGGTACAGTGTATGATGAAAGCAATGGCTTCGTCTTGGTATCATATTCAAAATTAGGGAACAAGGATTTACAGATATATACAGCACATCAGAGCATGTTCATAGTTCAAAATTTGGAACTAAATTCATAATCCCAGAAAATGAACTATTTACTGTTTATTTCTTCTGTGCTTTTTCTTGCTGAGAGTTTGACTTGAGCGGAGGAACTCTGCAGCTGTTGGCTCGTGGTCATACACTTTGTTAAGGGTTTCTTATGGTCATTATTCACTCACAGATGTTTCCCAAGACTGGTGTGATGCTCGATGTGTCTCGTAGGAGTTGACAACGCTTACATGATTAATTATTTGAAAACGGGTATGGTCAGTTCACCCTTCACCGAAAACATGAGCATGTTCAATAAATGCACTGTTTTAGCGTGCTCATGCACTTCATGCATTTTGGCAACATTTGGCAATGGAACATTATGTCCAACAAAAACAATAACATTCAGGTACATACCTGTCAAAAAACAAGAAAATCAACATATTGACCGAACCAACATCCTGAATCATTTAAAGCCCTAATAGTTACTAGTTACAGCATTGTAAGTGGAAAAGTGTGGTTTTGGAACATTCTGATGAACTGAACCATTAAAATGTTTGAATAGAAATTTTAGGTTTAAACCTATTATGCTGCATTTCCAGCCCTATATTGTGGTTCTGTGACTCCTGTCTGTTGGCTTTGCATGATTCAAAGTTCATAAAAGTATTTTCTATCTTATACTGGCTCCTCATGCTGGTCCTCATTTCAGCATCTGTCTGAAACAAGCTGTTTATGCTTCTGTTTCTTTGAGATCCCCCCACTCCAGATCCCACTGTCTTCTGATTGGCCATTGTCCAATGTGTTTACCAGGTTGCTGCAGGGATAGGTCTGCATGTTCCTTTGTGGGCGTTGCCATGTGTTCTATGCCTGGAGCAAATGACCATATTTGGAAATCGGAATGACATCATACCGAGCCATTAGTAGGAAAAAACAGTTCAAAACAGTGTTCAGAACAGGGGGATATCTGAGGTTTTGGCTCACAGGGATTTCTTTTTAATACTTTTACCTCATCATTTGAAACTTTGGTCATGTTTAATGTGAACATCTGACCTTGTAACATTATAGAAATGCTAGAAAATATGAAAAAGGTCCCCTTTAAAAAACCTAAGTAAGAGCTTAGATCTTAGACATTACTTGTACTACACTTTATAAACTGATGTTTCAATATGCCCTTTGAGACTAGTGTACTCTACGCATTGTTTTTGTTGTTGTAAGTAGTACTCTAAATAGTATGTCAATTAAGTAGTTCTACTAATATTAGTATTTGTATTACTAGTATTAGTGTTAGTATTAGCCATTGCTATGTGATCGAATATGACACTATAATAACTCCCCTGTGTTTGGATGTTTCAGTGGTCCTTAGCTTAAGGTATAATATGTGGGAGTTCCATCACCTCTACATCCTGCTGAAAACCACAGTAGCTGCTGCACTGAGAGAGATACAAAGCAAAAGCATGGAGGTAAAGGTTGAAGGGTCTCAGTGTAAAGTCTGCCTCATTTCTGTTTTGCAATTGTTAGAGCAGCAGTGCCAAAAAGAAACTTTTCACTATGCAAGGCTACTAGTGTATGGCATAAAAACTATTCTGTTCTTCAGCATTTATATTCCACTAAGACCTGATTACCAGTTATTACAGTGCACACAACAAAATTAGTCAGGGCCCTGTCCGTCTTCTACCTGCCGGAGGTGTAGTGATATTTATATACAGGTATGCGGTGAATACACACCTCTGTGCAGGCGGATTTATCACATACCAGACAAGTGTTCTCACAGGGTAAGGCTGCAGGCCATCATGCCACACTCTTTCATGTAATCTGTGGCATTAACCATGCAAGTGAACTTTTGTTCCCTAACTTTAGCCCTTAAGGCATTGCCTCCTCCCACACAACATAACATAAGTCCTCCAAATGTAACAAAGAAAGATGTTTTTTGTCCTTGCTCTTTAGAATGATACATAGAAGTGTTTCTGATCTGACTTCCCTATTTGCGGAATGACCATAATTAGTCTGTGCTATTCTAAAAGCGTTACAAAATACATCCCTTTTCTGAGGCAATAAGGTTAAGTTAGGTGTAAGCACAAAAAGATCTTGGTTTAGGGAAATTACTCCCCTGATCAAGTTTTGGGTTAAATAATTCTTTGTAAAGGTTTGGGGACCGTCAACTGACATCTTCCTTCGCTCATATCGTACAGGGCTAGAGAGCTTCATCACTTGAACGAAATCATTTGTTGTTTTGGGGCACTCTCTCTTATGACACCCAAACTTTAAGGAAAAACACATCCTCTCTCGTTTTGTCCTGCTCAGTCTTTCAGTCAATGTGTGGGCAAACACGTCGCTTGAATCTGGTCCAGTATGTCTCGCATACTCAGAAAGTGCTTTTATGGTTATGAAGGAAAGTTAAATATTTTCTGGTTTTCCCTCTCAGCTAAAGTAACTAACAAGATGTAAAGCTATCCATCCATCAGGAAAGTCCATAAATCACCAGAAGTTGAGGCAGAGCAGCTGGAGGACATTAGAGGTAAAACCAGAAAATATTTTCCCTATAAAATATGATACACTTTCACCAAAATCAGTGAAAAGTTATACAGTTGTGTTTTTGTACAGTAATGAGTAGGCGTAGTCTCGCAGAGCCAGACTATAGATGTTTAAAGAGAACTAAATGCAGCATTGTAAGTGGGACTCCGCTGCTCAATGGCCAATTTGCTGGCAAGTACTTTTGTACTCTCAATCAAGTAGTTATTTTGATGACTACTTTTACTTCTACTTGAGTACTTGTTTTTTGCAAAGTAACAGTATTTTTACTTTAGTACGGTTTTTGGCTACTCTACCCACCTCTGAATATGTAGTAAGTTGCAGGAGGTCTAATGTTAATCCTGGTTGGATCCTTTATCAAAATATTTTTAAAAATTTAATTGAAAATAATCTGCAACAACAGTCTGAACTTAACCAGAAAGATATGATTTAACCATGTGGAAGCTGAATCATCAAAATCAATGTATATTATCATCAACAACATTAAACAGATCTACACAGAATGCAGCAAAATCTTGCCTTTTATCAAGCAATTTAACAATGTCATCCAAAACATCAGTTATTGTAATATGACCAGGCATCCTGACCTCTTTGGATTTAGGACAGTATGGGCAGGTATTGTGAGCTAACCAGTGATTCTGCTAAGAGAGAGAAGAGTGTGGATGTAGGCTGATAGTTGTGTAGGTCATAAGATCACCTTAGTGTAACTGAGCTGTTTCAAGCCTAGGTACTGCATGTTAGATTTGTCCTCACCAGGAGACTTCTATGTTTAGGTATATCAGTGTATTACTGTATATACCCTGAGTATTCAACATTTCTGAGCGAAGGATGGATACACCCTTGTAATGGTGGGGTAGCCAAGGCTGATCCCTTCACCCTGCTCCTCAACATGATCAATCCACTTAGCACACCCCATTAAAACCTTATCAATTGTCACTGTGTATACAAACAAGCAAGCAAGCAAGCATTGGAAGAAGGATTCTCAGTTGAGCAAGTAGACCTGGAGCAAAATGTTGGTATTCTCAATTACATAGTCAAAGTACCACACTTCTACACTGGTAAAGGCTTAAATTTGCTCCAGGATGTTGGCCCCGCCCACTGTAAAAACTGTTACTTAGATCTAACTTAAAAAAAATAAGGCAACATTTTCCAAGCACTTTTTGTTAGTTTAGTGAACTTCTTGATTTTTTTAGTTGGGAAAACTCAGTAATAAACATTTTAGTGTATGCTAAAATATTAAGTAGAGTCTACAAAAAACTGCCAAAAAATTAAGTTCAGCCATTGTCAAAATGGACAGCATTTTAACCACATCAAACTTAATTAAAATAAGTTACATTCAAAAGAAATTTTGAATCAGTTCATGTACTTATTTTCTTTAAATGTTGACCAATTATTTTTTTCTGTTGTAAAAGTGCAAATTACTTCAAATAATTAGTTAGCATTGTCATAAATTTAACAAAGAAAAGGACGTATCGGTTTCCAACATTTATTAAAATCCATTTAAATGCAGTTATGCAAAATTATTGACACAATCTTCTGACCACAGCCTATGTGTAGTAGAATACCTTTCCAGCACCTCTTCTGTGTATAAACAGTAATCTTGAAGGGACAAATTTTACTATTTCAAAAATTACAGCTAACAGTCTGCCTCAGGCATCATTAGACGTCACTGGTAACAGAACAGAAGCTGTGCTAGAAGGCAGAAGCTGCAACTGTAGGTGTTTTTATACATTGTGAGTTACGGTTTAATATTGTCAGATTTTCCTTTTAAATCTTAATAAAACATTTTACATACTACAACTTGTGACCTCAGCTTACAAACTGCAGCTTGATACAATATTGTGACAGTGTATTTCATTGACTATTAAAACACTTGATCATAACAGAAAAATGTTCATTAACAGAAAAAATATCTGTGACAGCCAGGGTGACTGTCATGTTTCACTGTCCACGCTTGAAACTTGTTAGTGAAACTAATGACCATGGAGGTTAGTTGAGTACCCAGTGCGGAGACCCACAAACAATCCTTGAAAGGCCTTCAGGTACAACAGTCTGAAAAATCACACATCAGGCCAAGAAAATGTATAACATTCCTCAACAGAAACAACAAAACTCTGTTTTCACTGCAAGGCCAACAATCTTTGCGAGAAACTTGTTGTTGAGGCTTATTAACTTGGCAGTTGGTTTTGGGCGCAGTGCATTGAGTCCCACAAAAAGTCTTCATCAAAAGATTGGATGGATACTGGAGATTCTGGCCAGATTGTCAAGATCTGTAAGCACTGGATTCCCTCGATGATGATGCCCACCGCATCTGGTTCATGGCGAGCATAGGCTAGATCCTCAAACCGCATTTTCAGGTCCTCATGCACACTGCACTCTGCAGTTCCCTGTATGACAAACAAACAAAATTAGGAAACTGTCGCACTTATTAAGGAAAAATAAAAACAGAATGTACAGTATGTTCAGATTAAGATAATAATTCAACATCACATCTTCTTTGGAGACCCATAAAACGCAAATGTGTGCTCAAATCCACACAACACTAAGCAATTTCAATAAATTTAATACAAATGTACCTATCACAAACTAAATAATGTTAATATTTTATGTACAGATCTTTAACATAAAAAATCCAATAACTTTTGCTTTGTATGACGTAACAGTGTGTGGCTTTTTCAGACACTTCATACTCTTCAGATCCCCAAATGAATGCTGGATATTAGTGATGGTGGAAACTAGGTTATCAAGGTTCTTGACAAATCCACTGGTCTTTCCCACTTATTTCAATGTGGGAAAGACCAGTAAAGAACATATTTACCAGTTAGCAACAGCTTATATAAAACACTTAATAGCCTACTGAATGAAAAGCCCAGATGTCCCCTTTTCCACCAACAATTAAATGGAGCATGTATTCATTGATCTGTGTGGAGCTGGAGACCTGTGTCCCAGTGTCTCATAAATCCTTTCACAAATGTAACATTATGCATATCTGTCAGGCATACAGATTAAACAATCTGTAAATAAATACAAAATAATGTTAAATATTTCCTATATTTGTCATAAAATATAAAATGAGAGGATATACAAAAGTCATTGAGCAGGCAGTATTTTTCAGAGATTTTCCCAGGAATGGAATTTTAAAAAGGTTCTGCATAGGGCTCTACTTCATAATACTTAAAAATCGCCTATTCTAGGCCTCCTGCTAACAATCTCCATGCTGCTGGTTCTCTCAGCCTACACATGACGAATGCTGGTTCAGTCAGCCCACATAAAATCATACTGGTTTAACTTGACCAGTAAAACCAGAAACAGACCCAACCATACTTTTTAACAATACTTACATAGTACTCAGAGATAAGGTCCTGTCCACTCTTTCACATATACTCAGTGAGGCATCTTAGAGTCACATCTCTCTTCTTCATCACAGAGGCACTTGGGTCCTAGAGTTGATGAGTGAATAATGAAACATTTAGCAATATCACTCCAAACCTACAACATAATCACTGCTGGTCTGAATTATCTTTTCAATACAATAAAGTTTTAGGACACTGCCATTTTGTGAAAATTTAAGTACTTTCAGTTTAGTTAATCAAAACCAAAAAATAAAAAGTGGTAAATTTCAAAGATTAGTCTCATTATTCTTCAGATGATTACCTATGTGTTAGAAAAATATCTTTGACATAATAGGCAGGTGAACGAAATGTTACTTGTGATGAGTTATGTCAGTTTACTTCTGGATGCTGTCTTGACAAATGACTGCGGAGGGCCCTCCAGGATGTAGAAGAGCATGGGCAGTCTACATGTATACATGACAAGACATGGCTGTGTCTAAAGGTCCCATGATGCTATCTGTAATGCTTTACAATATCAAGCTTTTGCGGTACAACAGTGCTGCATAATTTACACGGCCATCCCATTTGTTATTGAAAAAATACAACAAGGTATTATTAGGGCTGAAACGATTTATTGATTAAATTGATAAAATGCTTCGACATAAATTCTCTGAATCGATGCTTCGTTTAATTCATGTAACTATACAGCACAGTGTTTTGCACAGACATTTATTACTGTCGCACATCGCGCTTACGCTGTGAACACGACGTCGTGGTGGGGGAAGGGGATTACGGTAGTAATCTTTACTCATTACCACTGACGGGAACGTTGCCCAGCACGATTGCTCTAAAAGTTGCTCTGTGTATTATCAGCTTAACAGTAACAGCAACTTCAGCAATTACCTGAAATCATGATTGATTGTGTAGTTGAAGGCTAGCCAAAGTAAGCCGCAGTCCTCAGCTGAAAATGTACCCATGTGCGTTGTTGTTGTTCTCCTTTTTGGGCCATGAGTTGCAACCTCACAGTCAGGAGTTAACTGGCTGTCGGGAGCTGCACCTTTTAACTCACCTCCAGCTCTCTCTGTAGCTCAGACAATCCCTGCTACCTGCGTGTGCTAATCCATCCTTTCACGCCGCCGCCGCCGCCAAGCAAAAGTACTTCTTATACGATGTATCGATGAATTGTATAAATAATCTAGCAAAGCTTTGAATACTAAAATCATTGTTAGCTGCAGCCCTAGGTATTATTATATCTAGCCTTTTGGAAACAAGCTTAATAAAACTGCTTAAGATTTTTCCTACTTTCTTTTGGGGCCGTTCTTACTGTTAAATAAACTATACATTTAGTTTTTTATATATATAATTTTTTGTTTAAGAGGGCATAATCTTTGTACGACATTAATACACAAGATACATTTGTAGTAAACATGCCGTCGGTCAGTAGATGTTCGGTAAAATATTTTTGTGAAAATACATACTTTGACAAAACTAGGCTACGTTTTGATTTTTGGACAGCCATGTTTACTAAAAGTGAGGGAAACCAGAAAGCTTTGATTCATTAAAATTGATTTTATTCTCTCACAGCAGTCAAGCAGGAAATACTGCAGGAGATACAGACCCAGCAGTTAACATTAAAACCTGTAATCACACATCATAAGCTAGGAAATATGCCTCAATTATAAAAACCTACATTTATTTCCATTCAATAGCGTCCAACCATTTTGAGTCCCCGCTAAATGGACATTCTTTCATGTAGAGTTCTTCTCTATGCCACAGGGTGCTCCTCTATGAGGGCTGTCTATGTTAAGAGCCTGGAGGAGATGCAGGACCTGCCATCCTGCACGTCTTGCTAGCAAGAATTTGGTCAAAGCTAGTAATTCATTTCTTGTAATTGTCTCCCAAAACCTGCTTCATGAGTATTTTAAGCGAGTTGTTTGAGACAAAATATTTAACATTCATTAAAACTACATTAACAACGTTGCTGTTCAACAACCAAAACATCTCTAATATATCAGTTAAATGTCAGTAACATTAACATTAACTTAACTCCACCACCTAAAAAACAAAAATCTTGAGCCAGCAATCAAGCCATCTTGAGTCCAGACGTTAGGGCCACAAGAGGAAACGTCCATTTATTTTAAATTCTCTACTGAAAGCGGGAAGACATTGCATGTTAATGAAAACCCGACAAAGTATAAACTGCATTTGACAAGAACTCGAGTTTTTAGCGTATCCGTTAGAGCTTAACGTTAGTGTACATTTGGAAATGTCTCTGGCATCCTCACACAACAAACACATGATAGAGGAAACGGAGTGGTTTTCTAGCATGAGAAAAAGTAATATATCCATGCCAATTCGACTAAAAATTTAATTTTTACAAGTAAAAATGGTTACTTACATATGTTTAGTGATGTATTGTCCTCAGCTCTGCTGAAAACGCTGGTCAGGTCAGCACTGCAGTTTGGTCACCTCTGTAACAGCCCAGCCGTTAGAGCCGCGTGTGGGACATGCCCAGCCGATTTACTTATGACATAGGTCCTTAAACTGAGTTTTGTGAAATCAATTTATTAGGAAGTACAACAAAATCAATTTTATGGTAGAAAATAGCAAGTAACTGGAACATTCACACTTTTTACTTTTCTGTAACTTAAATAGAAAGGAAAAGAAAAGAAAATTAAATTTTTGAAAGAAATTTACATTTTAAAATGAAGTCGTATGGACAGGGCCATTGAAGGACTTTACAGTGCAGGGTGCCAGTCGGGTGGGCTAAAGAGACAGAAGCATCTACAGCTTGTTTCAAAATAGAGGCTGAAATGAGGGCCAGCATGGCGATTCTGTATAAGAAAGTACTGGGCCTCATCTTTTTGTTACACACAGAATATACATCTAAATCTGCATTAGGTCTACACTTAGGTCTTCAATTTTATTGAAAAGTAGATATGTAACATGTTCAGTTCATCTGCTTCACACTGGAGTACACACATTCACTGTTGGTGTTGTTCCTCTGTCTTCTTGATCTGTTGGGCAGGTTAACATTTAAAGCAGCATAATGGAGGCTGTCTGCATCTCGGTAACCCTGGTAACAAAATATGTAAAACTGGATTACGATATTGATTCTTACAGACATTTAAAAAAAATAGCAACAAAACAAGTGGTTGTTTTGCATAAAAAAGGTGTTTTAATGAATTATTAAGTTAAATTTCACCTCTGCAGTTGTTGTGGAAGGAGCCGCTAATCTTGCTTGAGACTCTGGTTGTGAAACAAAGAAAAAGCTTTTTATTGGAAACTTGTATTTATGAATACAAGCTATCAGATACAAACTGTAACACTTACCTGTACATTGGCAGTTGTTTTTCTTAATTATCTTGTACACTAAGATAACCAGTAGAACAATCAGGATGGTAGTGAATGTCAAAGCTCCACTCAAGAAATACACCAAGACAAGAGAATCCACCTGATCTGCAGATTCAGACATCAGAAACAGAGCTTTCAGCTTTTACCTCTGTGGTCACCACAAGCTTGATTGGAATGTAACAGATAGGACAACCTCTGCTATAAAGTAACTTACCTTCAAAGTCCAGTTTGGTCCCATTTCCAAACAGTATGTGTCCACATGAGGCAACAGCACAGTAGTAGGTCCCAGCATGAGAAAGATTCAGGCTCTTCAATGGCAAGTTGTAGACACAGGTGTGTGTTTGTGTGCTGGAATTCCTCTCACACTGATCGTTCCTGCCTCCATGGGTGTAAATGAGTCCTAGATGAGATTCTTCAGAGTTTTTGAACCAGTAAACACTGTGTTCTCCATCACAGGTCCCAGTGTGTACTGTACAGTTCAGAGTCACAGAGCCTCCTGGCTGGATGGGCTCAGATGCTGACTGATGGACCGAAGCTGGTATGTTAAAACCTGAACCCTTTACACTGACAGTAGTGCCCTCTGCAAAAGTAAAGACATATATATATGCATAGCTAGCTCCGCAGTAGTAAGTAGCTGAGTCTGAAATATCCAAATCAAATATTGTCAAGTGATTTGTACTGTTTTTAGTATCCAGTGTGAAGCGTGGATTGTTGAATTCATGATAAAAAGTGGCTTTTGTATGAGACACATAGAAGGTAGACATGAGCCTTGGTTTCTGTCCCAGAGTTTGCTTATACCAGTAAAGCCATGCTGAATTAAAAACCTTCATAGAAACATTGCAGAGTCACATTTTCTCCAATATCAGCTGATACAAAACGTGTCTTTTGATGAATAGACAAGGACAGTTTCAGATCTGTCATCTGAGCTGAAATGAAATGAAAGACAAAGCAAATTAATCAAATCTGATCAAATCCAGAGTGATTATTAATATATTAAGATATATCAGACACATTTCCATGAAGAGTTGCTATAAAGTAAAAGTGGAGCTGCTGGAGCCATAAAAACAAAACTCACCCATTTTCCTCACGAACAAACATATCAGACAGAAAACAAACTTTGGAGATGCCATCATGTTCGAATTCTTATGCTGAATGAAAAGAATCTCGATTCTTTCTCCACTCTTAAAGAGACAAGACTGTGTTTGATTGGCCAGCCTGATGTGACACTATGTCCTAATTAGGAAACATTATCACATGTTGTCTGCCACCTATAGTGTCAAGTTTGGTTCTTGAGAAGATTCACATGTTGAGAGGTATATAAGCACATCAGATCATGCTCATAGTTCATAATTAAAAATTTTGAACTAAATTCATAATAACAAAAAATATTTTTTCATGTTTATTTCTTCTGGGTTTTTTCTTAATAAAATGCTGTCGTTGACTTGAGTGGTGGAACTCTGCGGCTGTTGGTTTGTGGTCATACCCTTCGTTAATGATGGTGATCGTCATTCACTTGCAGATGTTTCCCAAGACTGGTCGGAAGCTTCATTTTGATGTGTCTCGCAGGACTTAAGGGCGCTCACATGATTAATTGTTTGAAAATGGATATGTTCAATCAAAGCTTTCTCAACACAGTGCATCATTACCGACGCTTTCAGACAGTGTGACAAAGCATAATTATTTTACGCTAAAGGTACGTTGCAGCAACACAAAGGAGACTAACCTTACCTGCTCTGCTAGCACATCAGCGTGAGGCCAATGTGCACAGCTGTAGGTTTAGCCGGTCGACATGCACAATGTCAGTGACTTAGGTTTAGGCACAAACATTTCTGATGGTTATGGTAAGGGTAGGGGCCTTCTGGTTTAGCCCTCTGCTAATTTAAATGGGTATAAAATGATTTAATCATGCGGCTATTCTAGACTTTCTGAATGTTATTGGACCAAATGAATCAAATTCAGATAGTGAAATTAGTAATTTGTATGTGAAAGTGAGTTTTTATGGAGGGGAGCTTTAAAGATACAGGAGCTAAACCAGAATGTTCAGACAGAGGGTCTATAGAGGTGCTGAATCAATGGGCAGTATGAGAAAAATAATGTGATAATGTAAACATTTTCTTTTATCCAACCAAAATAAAAGTATGAAATGAGCATAATATGGGACTATTAATAGGTTTTCGCAATGTCTCTGTAAGCCAAAGTACTCTAGCCTCTATCCCATGTGCGCCGAATAAAGACATTTTTCAATTCTTTCCTCACAGAGCAACCCGGTCCTCTAATGTTTTCATATATTGATCTTTAAGTTACTGGCACTTCCTCCTTCTAGCCTGAGTGGCCATCTCTCGTGTACTGTTGTCCTTGTCATCGATGACTCTACTGTTGTCTTGGATGGGTGATGGTTCTTACATGCTTTCTCCACTACACATGGTGCCACCAGACATTCAGATGTACCGCTTTATGGACTGAAGACATACACACACACCTACACTGTAAGTGTTCCAATGTTAGATTCTGTTTATTTTATCACACAAAATGAACATACATTATATTATATACATACATTGGATAAAAAAACAGTCCAAGAAATATTTACGTTGTGATTCTCAAACCTAGGGATGGGAATTTATAAGATTTTAACGATTCCAATTCCATTATGAGATCTTTCTGGACTCAGGGTGTCTCCAGCAGTGGAAAACACCCTTTCAGAAGGGGTAGAGGACGCTTGGACACAGAGATACTTCTCAGCTAGAGCTGACAACACTGGCAATGTGTCACTCTTCTTCCACCACCAGAAACTGGCACTGTCTTGGGTTGGAATGACAGGAAGGCTTCTATAAAGCTGGATTCGTCTGAAATTATGAAATAACCACAAGGTTTAGTTTTAAATTAAATAGTGTAATAATCCCTGCCATCTATCATCATTCATCACAATTAGCTACAATAAACTTACGTAGTCCTCCTCTTCTTCTTCTTCTTCTTCTCCATCCTCTTCTTCTGCCTGCCCTTGTGTCTCACTTGGCTCTGACAGCTTGAGAAGAAATTTATAGTCTAGTCTTTATAGTATAAGAATCACAGAGCAAGAAGAAAAGGTCTCATAACATAAATATGCTAAAGGCATATTCAAATACCTTCTCAACTGCTTCTGTGTTTGCTGCCACTGCTGATGCTCTGACCCTGACCCAAATTTCATCCCTGTCCATTTTAGATTTAAATCTGGGATCTAACACAGTGGCTTCCTGCCTGGATATCATCATCCTTACATTTACAATGGAGGACAAACAACACAAATCTAGAAGAAAATGTGACTGACAAATAACCATTAGTGTATATGAGTAATTGTCATATAGTAATCCATCATTACATGTCAGTGACTGTACCTGGTAATGTTTGGAAAGATCATTCCAGATGTTCTCCTTGATGCTCCTGACGAATGCAGAGTCGTCTTCCTGCACTGCAGTTTCTGAAGGATGGGCAATATCTGGCCACAGGTTGGACTTTTTTCACTGGAGACAGCAAGTGTGGATGTGTAATGCATCCTTAGCAGCAGCACAAACTCCTCTGCTTTCCTCGGGTCCTCATTGCCCATTCTGGCCAGTCTGAAACATAAAGAAAACAAAAAATATATATCGCAGAAACAACAAACATAACCCTTTTAATGGCTATAGTCAACCAAGTTTTATATAAGTCATTTTAATTTTTTTCAAACATTAGTTACTTGTCCTTCTCCACGGGCTTTCTAAGCCATTGGTCTATAGCTGCAGCTTGGATAGCAGGAAACTGTTCACAAAATCCTTCCATCATCAAATACAGAGAGTTCCATCTCGTCCTCATATCTAAAAGGAGCATGCGCACGGGCAGCTCTGCAGCACACACACACACACACACACACACACACACACACACACACACACACACAAGATTATGAGATTACATTAAACAATGTAATCTTACTTTATCATTTTTAAATTGATCCTAATCTGTTCATTTATATGTTACAATTTGTCATTAGCTTGCAATTAAAGTATTTAAACAGTAGGCCTATTACTTACTGAGGAGTTGTTGCTTTTCCTTCAGGACTACTTTAGCCATGTGAGATCTCTTCATCCATACGATCACAGAACAAATCCTTGCTGCCCAGTTGGAAACTGTATTGCAGTTGTACAGCTTCTGAGCTCCAAGG